CACTTGGAATACGAGGAACCCTCTGAATAAATCTGGTTCTAGCATTATAAAAGCTTGTAAAACCGTGGCTCGAACAGCTGATCACGAGGATGATGGTCACCCGTCAAGAATGAGAGAACGGTGTCAAGTTGAGCAGAGTATCTGCCGGCTGAATTCAGAACCTCCTATTGAAGATATAATGGAGGAAGACATCATTTCTGTTGCTACCCCAAGAGTTGCTGTATTAGAAGCACCTTCTGATGTTATGGTTAAAAGTCATGATGTCATCATTGGTTCGGATGATAGAACTGTGACATCCGTGAAACCATTGTCACCCTTGGTTGATGCGAGTAACGGCAAGGTTTTTCTGGCAAAGCCTGTTTCTTTTGTTGTTCCGGAAGCCTGCGAGAATCTAGCTAGTTCAGTGAAGGAAACATTTGCTAACCCAAGAAGTCAGATTGATAGCTCTATGATCAGTGCCAAGACCTTGGATGAGGAGTCGTCAGATAGGAATACTTTTAATGGAACACGTGAAAACTGCACTAACGATGCATTAGAGTCGCTACACATTACCGGTTCTTCAAACAAAGAATGTAATTCTGAGGATGTAGGCATTGCACCCGCAAAACAATTACAAGATTTGGAAGCTGCAACAACTGTTGAAAACCAGACGGGAGCAGCTGATAATATCAAATCCATTGGGGTGAAAAGGAAAGCAAGTCGAGACAAAGCATCTGCAGCTAACTCCAAGAGAAAGAAGAAAACAGACCAACAATCTACTTGTACCGATAAACCGCTGAATTTACACCTGATGAAAGATATACGCCTTGCTGATCCAAAATGTTTGCGAATGAAGTTCTTGAGTAGACATGGGAATCTCCCATCTAAAGCAGAACTGTTGAAGAGATTCAGCGTGTTTGGGAAGATAGACGCTTCAAAAACTGATGTAAAGCAAGAGGAAAGTTCTGCGAAAATAGTATTCCTGCAGAGCATAGACGCAGTGACAGCTTATCAATTTGCAAGAAGCAAAAAGTTTACACTAGGACTGTCTAAGGTTATGTACCGGCTTGACCCCTTTGAGGAAGACAATATAGTAAACAAAGTCCCCGTGTCTGAAAAGCCCGTTCCATCACCAAGATCATG